CACCCACGTGTGACCCCGCAAATTTAAATTCAGCTTCCCCGTACCCGCGGGTGACGCGTACGGCCCTATGAAAGTTTTTTACGGGTAAGTTAATATCTCGGGAACCACGGAGTCCAGGAGACTGAAGTTTTAGGGTAATGACCGCCTGCCCACGCTCAACCTTGTCCATTCAAATTCAGCCTTCCCATACCCGCGGGTAACACGTAGGGCCACGTGTAATTTTTTACGGGTAAGTTAGTATCTCGGGAACCACGGAGTCTAGGAGGCTGAAATATTAGGGTAATGACCCTCTGCCTACGGTCAACCTTACCCATTCAAATTCAGCGTTCCCGCGCTCTCGGGTATCACCCACGGTGAACTATTAATTCGGGAATGATGGAAAGATATTCATCCTTCAAGGTTTCAAATTCAGCTTTCATACGCTGGCGCGTGAAATTTTTAACTGTTTCCCAATGTTTGAACTATTTTTGCATAGACTGAAGTACAAAGCCGTGAAAATCATTAATAAGCAATCGTTCGATGGGCTGAATTGCACAAAGCGCATGATCGCACCTGCAAGTCTGGTGCACGTTGCTATTTATTGTTTCAGCATTGCCAGTGGCAATATCTGGAGGGGATATGTTCTAGCAGCTGTATGCTCGAATTCGCATTCGTATTCTCGCAGGTGCACGTAGATTTTCGACGGGCCGAACTCGAAAGTGTTTGCGCTCTCTACGGGATCCAGTGCAATATCGCATCGCTTTCCACTGATGTACGTTTTCATAGGGCTTTTCCATCCTCCACCGAAATGTGCGGCTACGCTTCAGCTCACTCTCATTTCCTTCCTTTCTTTCTTCATCTTCCTCAGATAATCAACGTAGTCCTTTTAAAATGGCGAAATGGGGCACTGTACTGATGATCTCCCCGCTCCCGACTCCTTCCTACCACTCCCATTTCGTAGCGATTCTGCCGTCTGTGTTTACAGCTCAGGGATGAAACAGAGACAGGACACCAAGCTTACTTATTTGGGAGGCCTAAATGGCACTTCTTCCAGTGCTTTCGTTAATTATTAAAATTCGATTGTGTTTCTCTCCACAGTGGGCCAGCAACACCAAACAAACTGCATATGTTAACACATGGACGATTTCTGGCCCTCATCCCCTTTCAGTCTACTAGCCAGGGATATTCATTGTTTATATCTCTAAAATTTCTACAACATTTTGCCTTACTGCTAGAAGTTTTTTTGTTGTTTTGGATTCGTACTGGCATTTACTGGCTTGTCTGAGAAGCCATGCTTTAACGATTCACTCATTCGTTTCGATGGTAAACTGGTACTAGCGCATGCCAAAGAGTCAAAACCGTCACTAGCTTACTTCTGAGTAACTTTTGAAAGAGAGAGCCATCGAAAGCCTTGCAGTTTCTCTTAGCAGTGTGTTTAATGGACCGAAACATTTCTTACCATTGCAATAATTTTATTAAAATAATTTTACTATTTTTGCTGATTTCTTAATATTATTTTCTCTTCCATTCTCCTTCAATACTTTTCCATTACCAGTCAGGCGTTTACCAAAACTCGGCTCTTCGGGATAGATGTGATATGCCCTTTCTCAGTACGACTATTAGTGGTAGAAATAGTCGGAAAAAAGATAGCACTGGGGATACTGGTTTAGCTTATCGTGGATCGTAACGGAAGGAGTTACGGGGGAAGCGAGAGGGGTTTTATGGATTTATGAAGGGGCTAGGAATATTGGCCGGGAAAACCTTGACTTTGACTGGAGGCAGGGATTAGGGGTTACGGGGGAAAGCGGGAGGGATTTTATGGATTTATGATGCTCTAATAAGAAACTAGATGCTGAATGGATATCAGAAAATTTACGTTTGCACACCAAAATATTGTTGGAATAAAAAAATCGGTCACTTTTATGAAACTAACTTTTTTGCAAACTCAAAAGCGAGCACATTTTGCTCTGGCGAGCCGAATTTTAGTAATTACCGGTTATTCCCGAGTGCCTACATTTGTTGGAAAAAAGGGAATTACGGGAGAATTTTGATTTTCTCTTCACAACGCAGCAGTAGTGATGCTGTTATTTGTGTTGCAGCATGAACGGCATGTCTTCCTTGTGCACTTTCCATCGGTGGAATGTGTTGCGAAAATTTTATCGCGAACGGTTCTGGTGAAATTTGCAATTGAATTGTTTGCTGTTTCGGTGGACTACGATGGCCTGTGTGCAGCAATTCGAGCCAAAAGGCAGCAGTTAGCACGGGTAAGGTCTTTTCTGGCAAACTCTTCTATAGTCCCATCTGAATGGGCCTTTCTTCCCTCTCTTTTACTAGATTTTTGGCTTAATACTTGGAATGAAAAGTAAAGGAAGGTCCACAGAAGCCCAGTCAAAATTGGTCGTTTCAAGCATGATCGACGGGGAGGTCGAAGTTGTGAAGTGGTAATTTGCGGTCGTAGGTAGACCGAAGCATATCGTGTAAAGTAAGGAACTGTGCAAACCAAAAGAAATTCAGCCTTTCTGCAGTGAAGGAATGTCCCCCTTCCCCTTCTGGCTAAACATAGCCCTTGCTTTTTTATTGCTCCCAGAAATGCGAAATTTCCCTTTCATCGTTTTAAGCCTCATCGTGCGCGGCCTGGCGTTTTTCCTCCTGTCTATTTACAGCGTATCCGGAACGCGATCAAAAATTAGCCTCCAGCCTGCGGTAAATTTTTTTAGAAAAGAGCTTTTGTTTGCTAAGTTGGGAGCTATAAAAGAAGGGATTGAGTTGAAATGGTCTGTATTCAATAGAATGAAAAAGCAAACGTTGGTTGTACTGAGGTGAGCAGTGGAGTGATGGATGTTTGAGCTGTTTTTTTGTGATCATATAAATAATTAAACGGTCCGATGAGTATGCGACGTACAAGATATTGCCACGACCTTTAAATCCGATGGGTGTTACGTGCTGGTCGTTTTTACTGACACTCGGTAAATTGGGCTTCTGGGTTACGTTCAGCACACGTTTGCTGTTAAGAATTTTCACTGCTTTACGCTTTGGCGTGTGCAAAAAAAAAGGTTGAGTTTTTGGACGATCTTGAAAATTTTTTTTTTTTTTTTGTCATAGAACAGGAATGGGCAACCTTTGGCAACAAACGGGCCTGATTTACATACTTACTTAAGCTGGCGAGCCATTTTTTTATAAACCTAGGTAGCAGCGCACAACGCTTGCCCATGCGATCATGCGTTTTTGCGCGAAAATCAGATCGTTAACAGCGTGAATGGTTGCTTTACAGCTTAATACGCACAACTCATGTGCCTGTGTTTTGGTCTTTTCTTGCATGCGGGGGAAAAGGTATGTCCTGGTTCGTGCCGCTATTTATTTTCATGAGAATGCAGTGGCGTGGCAGAGTACGAATCCCTTTCGTCTAATTAGGCACCCCACTCCGATTGCCTCCTTGGGCCGGACTAAAACCAGTCGCAGGCCGCTGATTGCCCACCTATGTCGCAGAGGAAATAAATAGTAACGCGCACCAGACTAGCCGGTGCGATCGTGCGTTTTGTGCAATTCAGCCCATCGAACGATTGCCT